GCCCAGGGAAGCCATTTTCTCCCTCCTGGAGACTCGAGAAAAGCCTCCGGAGCCCGGGCAGGGCAAAAACACCCCAGCCGTGGTGCAGGAGGTCAAATAGGCCACACCCACCCACCAACGGGCTCATTTTTGGCCTTCCCGAACTTCTGGGAGGCCCGTTTGTCACCCTCCCCGAGCCTCCGTGTGTGGCCTGCCCTTATCTGCATCCAAAACGAGCTGCGTGTGGGAGTCCTGGGAGGGGCGGGGAAGGGTGGGCGGGGCCAGCCAGGAGTGGGATTTGGGGGTCCTCAGAACTGCAAAGAATCTTATTAGCTAGGGGCTCTCCTGAACCCCTGAGAACCCCCAGCAGCCCACCCTGTATATAAGTCTAAGTGCTATTGCTCTAGCTATTCTTTTTTTTCTTTATTCCTTGTTTTTTTTTGTCTGGGTAAGGACAAACAGCCAGCGGAACCCCAGGGAGCTTGAGCCGGGTCTAGATGATAAGAATCACAGACTAAGCGAGACAGTCGTTACGTGAGTTTTGCCCCATTTTACGACCTTTCCGGCTGTGGATGTTAAGGGAAATTGCTACCGTTGTTTAAGTTAGTCACGCCGGTTGTTAAGAAGGGAGTCCCGCTTCCCCATTGACTTTGCTGGTCAAAAGGTTGCAATAGGAGACCCGGGTGGCTCTGGGACAGTGCAACCGTCGTAAATACGAACCGGTTGCCAAGTGTCCGCATTTCGATCGTGAGACCCTGGGGGATGCGGTGAAGGTTGTGTGAAAAAATGGTCACAATGGTCATTTTTTTTTCAGTGCCCTTGTAACTTTGAATAGTCACTGTTGTAAGTCAAGGACTACCTGTGCAGGGGTTTCAGTGCGGTTATACTTATAGACATAAGCCGTCATCAAACTCTCTGTCTCCCTCCCCCTCTTCAGATGGCTTCTGAACTTTGTGCTTGAAGTGGAAAGGAATTAAACCTTGATTTTGGGTTTTACAGATGAGATGGATAGATCTTTATAGAAATGGCTTGTTCCAAGGGGTGGTTTTCTACCGGTTCGGCCTGGTTCGGCCGAACCGGTAGCTCCGAGGATTAGCTGCTGGGCCCACCCACCACCGGCCTGTTCATATTATTATTATTATTAAAAGTTGTGATTTGACGTTAATGCCTTATTTTACTTAACAGATAACAGATAATCAGAGTTGGAAGGGACCGTATAGGTCATCTAGTCCAACCCCCCGCTGCCCAAGCGGGAGACCCTACACCATTTCTGACAAATGGCAGTCCCATCTCTTCTTGAAGGCCTCAAGTGATGGCGCTCCCACAACTTCTGAGGACAAGCTGTTCCATTGGTTGATTGTTCTGTCAGAAAGTTTCCCCTTATTTCCAGGTTAAATCTCTCCTTGTTCACTTTCCATCTATTATTCCTTGTCTGGCCTTCGGGTGCCTTAGAAAATAGCTTGGCCCCTTCCTCTCTGTGGCAGCCCCTCAAATATTGGAAGACCGCTATCCTGTCTCCTCTGGTCCTTCTCTTCACTAGACTAGCCAAGCCCAGTTCCTGTAACCGTTCTTCATATGTTTTAGTCCCCTAATCCTCCTGGTTGCTCTTCTCTGTACTTTTTCTAGAGTCTCAACATCTTTTTTATAATATGGTAACCAAAACTGGATGCAGTACTCTAGGTGTGGTCTTACTAAAGCTTTATAGAGTGGTATTACTACCTCACTTGATCTTTACTGCCACAGAGAGAGAGTCGGAAGTCAATGGTTCTTTTTTCTTATCCTTCCTCACTTTTCTTCCCCTTCTTCCTCCCCACCGTTTTCCTATTTATTTGTCTATTTTGTATCTTATCTTATAACCAGTGCTGGGATTCAACTGGTGTAACAACCGGTTTGGTGAGAGCGCGCTTCGCAGACTAACGCAGGGGCAGGTGGGCGGGGCCAATTCATCGCTGGAACTACCGGTTGAATCTCACCCCTGCTTGTAACCCAATAAAAAAAGTATATGGAATATATGCATGCCGAGGCATGAGACTAAGAAGCCATGTTTGGCCTTCAGCACTTACCCAGAGTTTTGGGAGTAACTTTCCATGAGACTGTTTTCCTTCCATCCACAGGAAGACAATAGGAAGCCTGTTCCTTGTCCACAGGGGAAGCGTCGTAGTCGGGAGAAAGCAATAGCGATATGCTGACCTGTCGATGACCAGAAAGGAGTTAGATGGAAGATCACACAGGGAGATGTAGTGAGAGTGGTGAGGAATAACACACAACCAGCACACAGATACACTGTATAGTAAAATGTAGGTTTTTACTTTCAGTAAATGGTTAAGCAAAGTCCAACAAGCAGTCCAAGTCATACACGGTTAAAGCAGTCAGTTTTTCAGTCCAGGGACAATCCAAATATCAAAGTCCAGTATCATAAACAGTTCAGCACCAGACTTACAGCAATCCAAGAAGAACAACAATCAGCAACAGTAAATAGGGAAAACATTCAGGAACCAAAAACAGCAAACATCAGAACATCGACCAACTAGCAACTATCAACAACAGGACCAAACAACCCAGGTTTCTGGTTCCATCTTATGGCCGTTTGAGGAACCACACCCAATTACAATTTTAGCATTCCCTTAAAGAGACAGTATTAAATGTCTATCCTGGTTTATATATTTCCAACCCAACTGTTAGGTGACTATCAATTTCTAACACCTCACAGGCTCACAGAACAAGGAGGAAGAGGAGATGAACGCCACCCAAAATGTCAGATGGGCCTCTGGCAGATGTGGAGAATCTGAGCCCTTCCAAAATCTCGCTGGACTACAATTCCCAGCCGCGCTGGGTAGCAGTTAACTCTGAGGGAGGCTGAGAGCTGTAGTTCAACAATATCAATTCTAGGTTGCATGAACACAGGGATAGAATCAAGTCCATGAGAAGGGTTGCTACCACTTAATAATGCCGTCAGGGGTGGGCCGTAACTAATGTTAGGTCCGGTTCGGTGAGCCACCAAATCCTACCCCTCCTACCTTGCCCCGGCCCTCCCAGGAGTCCCCACATGGCCCATTTTGGATGTGAGGTAAGTACAGGGCCTCCCGGAGGCTCCGGAAGGCCAGAAACGGGCCTGTTTCTGGCCTCCGGAGCCCAAGGGAGGCCATTTTCACCCTCCCAGAGGTTTGAGGAAAGCCTCCGGAGCCTGGGAAAACGCCCCCCCCTCGCCGTGGTGCAGGAGGCCGACTAGGCCATGCCCACCATGGCCACATACACCCAGCAACTAGGCAGAGAACCGGTTGCTGAAATTTTCGAAGCCCACCCCTGAATGCCGTACTAAATCTACACTTAGAATACAGTTACTACAACCAGTTTCCCCAAAGGTGCTTTTTTCAGGAGGCAATTGGTGTCAGCGTTCCAAGGAACCTCCATTCCAATCAGTCATTCCGAGATGAGCATAATCTCAGAAGTACCTTTATTAGAAGAGCACCTGGCACATCTGTGGAATTTCGAAACTAAAAGTTTCCCGGACTTCCCACAATGTCCCAAACTACAAACCATCCCCCTTTCCCCCTCATCTTCACATCACATGAACCTCATGCTGGCTGAGGAATTCTGGGAGTTGAAGTCCACAAAGTAAATTCCCTTTTTTCTTCTGCGCCACACTCTATGACCTGGAACTAACAAAACAATTCTATTTTGTCTACTTAGAGCTACTCAATAAAAAATCACCCCCGTCCCACTTTCTCAAGCTATGTGGCAGCGATGAATACGGATTCCAAAGCTGACAACTGGACTTTCCCGTTCTTTTTTTTTTTTCCTCTGAAGACATTTCGCTTCTCATCCAAGGAGCTTCTTCAGCTCTGACAGGATAGTGGAAGAAGAAGCTGACAGAATGAAGCTTCTTGGATGAGAAGCGAAACATCTTCAAAGGAAAAAAACAACTGGTCAGTCCCGTCTCTGACCAATGCTTTACAAAATATTTACAGATGTATTTATTCTGTTTTTAGCCGTGTGTGTGTGTGAGAGAGAGAGAGAGGGAGAGAGCATGGACCCTTTTTAAATTCTGTGGTCTGGAAGATGAATTTTAAAATGCATCAAAATCATGCTTTTTTAATCATTTCTCTTCTGTACTTTTTGGAATGAGCATTTTGAAAGCATCTCACGTCCCCCTAATTTCCCGATCACAAGACGAGCTGCAATGAGGAAGGGAGTTGCTGCTTTATGGTTAAATCTGGGTTCTTCAAGAACACACAAGGAAAAGTTGGGTTGTGTGAGAGAGTTTGCCTGATATGCAAACCGGTTCAGTGAACAAAGCCTGGTTTGCTTTAAGGCAGGGTCCCCAAACTTGGCAACTTTAAGACTTGTGGACTTCAAATCCCAGAATTCCTCATGCTGGCTGAGGAATTCTGGGAGTTGAAGTCCACAAGTCTTAAAGTTGCCAAGTTTGGAGACCTCTGCTTTAAGGCATAGTTTGAACCCCAGTTCGGTATTGACTTCCTGGTTGTGACTGTGATGGGAGAAAGAACACACATAATTGATACTTTTCTGGGGGGTTTTCCTGGTTTATTTTTCTCCTTTGCCCCGTCTCAAACCACCCCATCAAAGAGAAAGGAAAAAAGCAGTGAAAAGGAAGGAAGGAAGGGGCCAAAACTGAAAAACCAACCACGGTTACTTTCACTCCCCACATTCTTGCTTTCGGGAAACCATGCTTCAAACAAACTTTGCCTTAAATACAGGTAGTCCTTGATCTTACGACCACAATCCCCCCCCAAAATGTCTGTCGTTAAGCAAGACAAGTTATTAAGTGAGGGTTCCCCCCCTCCCATTTTATGACCTTTCTCAATACTAGTGGTGAAATAAATCACTGCGGTTATTAAGTTAGTAAACATGGGGTGTGTGTGACCGTGGGAGACCGTAACCGTGATAAATGCATGGCAGTTATCAAGTGTCTAGATTTTGATCACATGACCATGGGGTCAGAAATGTGAAAAACGGTCATAGTTCCCTTTTATTGGTGCCAACAGTCACTAAATGAACTGGGGACTACCTGTATACACGGCAATAGTGGGATTCAAAAATTTTTACTACCAGTTCTGTGGGCGTCGCTTGGTGGGCGTGGTGTGGCTTGGTGGGCGTGGCAGGGGAAGGATACTAAAAAATCTCCATTCCCTTTCCAACCCACTAACCTGCTTTCCAGCTCCATTCTCCTCTGCAGGGCAGCGAAAGAAGACCCAGCTGATCAGCTGGGACTTGGGAGGCAGAGACTAGATGGGAGCAGGGCCAATTAGAGGTGGTATTTTCCAGTTCTCTGAACTACTCAAAATTTCCGCTACCGGTTCTCCAGAACGGGTCAGAAATTTCAACGGCTGTGAATTATATGCATTCACAGCCCGTAATGAGTACCAAACAGTTTGTGAATTGTCCAAGAGACGTCTGCCACAGTGTTTCGAGATAAGGCTGATAAGCACCCACCTTTATCTCCCTTGAAATGCTGCCAACTAAATTGCCAATGAGCTGTACAAGGCCAAATGGAGCACAAAGTCAATACGGAGCTTCAGAGTTTAAACCGATCAGAACGAACAAAGTTGCTTCCTGCAAAGGCTCATGTCCCTTTGCTCCTCCTTTATGTCTTATGGGAGGGGCCTATCATCTCCAAGCCTTACTCTCGAGTCGCGTCCTTTTGTCTTAACTGCTCTTGCCTTCTGGCAGCTCTGCGCAAGCGCACACTGGGAACAGGCTCCCCCTGTTCCTCTACCTCGCTGATGTCAGATTCTGGAGGCTCCGGAGTCAGCACATACTTCCCAGATGGCCCTGGCCCCATCTCTGGGTCAGACACAGAGCCCTTGGTCCAAGCCCTCCCCAGACTCCAGGACTGGCCCCATGTTCCTCCCCACTTTGCTGCCATCTCCGTAGGCCACCGGCGGACCACAACAGGCCATGCCTCCAGAGAGAAATCGATGCAGACAGAAAGAGAACGGAGGCGGCAGAGATGGAAGGGTTCCTCACCTGGATAGAGTGTTTCTGATAATTGTAGACGGTGGCCTTCAGGACGTAGGCTTCTCCCCGTATTACGCTGTATGGCTGGGTGACCTCAACGAAGAACGGCTGGATGGCCTTGAGGAAGGTGGTTTGGGCCAGGCCGAAGCCCACGGTGGGGGACAAGCAGAAGGCTCCCGCTCTCCAATCGGTGATGGTGTCGGGAATGGTGACGGGCACGGTGAGCTCGGTCTCACTGCTGAGGGAGGCAAGAGAAACAGAGGGAGGGGGATGAATTTCCCCAAGCAATACAGGTAGTCCTCAACGTTACGACCACCCATTGTCTTGTAGCCCAAAGGGTATGTCGCTAAGCGAGAAATGTGTTAAGCGAGCTTGTTCCCGCTTTGCGACTTTCCTTGCCACGTGGGGTCAAGTGAATCACTGAGGTGATTCACTGAGCGACAGGGTCGTTAAGTGGATCCGGCTTCCCCGTCGACTTGGCTTGTCAGAAAGGCTGCAAAAGGGGATCAAGTGACCACCTGGGACACAGCAACCATCATAAATAGGAAGCAGTTGCCAAGCATCCGAATTTTGATCGCGCCATCCTGGGGAACACTGCAACGGTCGCAAGTGTGAAAAATGGTCATAAGTCGCTTTTTTTTCAGTGATGGTGTAACACTGAACGGTCCTTAACCGAACTGTTGTAAGTCAAGGACCACCTGCATTTTCCTGGCCTGACAAAGTGAGAAAACAATCAACTTATAACCGTTTGTTTAATGACCATTCGAAGTTACAACAGGACTGGAAAAAAGAGAAACTTGTGACCATTTTTCACACTTACAACTATTGCAGTATCCCGGAGGTCAAAATCTGGATACTTAAGCAACTGACTCATATTTATGACGCTGGCCGTGTCCAGGGGTCTTGCGATCGCCTTGTGTGACCCACTGACAAGCAGAGTAAGGGAGGAGGGGAAGCCAGATTCACTTAACAACCGGGTTACTAGCTTAATCACCGCAGTGATTCATTTAACTGTGGCAAGAAAGGTCGTAAAAATGGGGCACAACTCCCTTAACGACTGTCTTGCTTAGCAGCATCCATTTTGGACTCAGCGTCAACTCATAAACCATTTCTGCGGTCTTTTTTAGAGTTGCCAACAGAAGAGAGGGGAGCAGCTTGCATTCCATAAATGGTTAGTAACTAGGTGACTGAAGCTTCTGCCGAGCAAAATCCTAACCGGAGAGTATGATTGGTGACTCTGGACTATGGATGTGTCCCATTGGAGAATATGAATGATGATACACCCAGGGGGTGGGGGAAGACCAGGGTGAAAGGTGACCATGAGTTATGTGTCACAGAGTCGGTTACATCCAGGCAGTGCCGGCCTATTCACTCCCAATAAATCATTTTTGAAGTTTTGGAAGTTTGGCTCAAGATTCATGATTTTTAGACATCAAACATAAAAGCATCATCCTCCTTCATAAATTTACAGACAGTGTATCGGTTGGTTTGCCACTCTTTTTTGTGCATCCATTTCATAGTCTCCATGGTAATTGTGTTACATAATAACTCATATTATCAATCAACAATTATATATCCCAGTATCATTATTAAGCAATCATTTGACTATAATTTTATTAATTCATATTTAAACGAGATAACTATACTTTACTCAATTTATTTTATAACAAATCATAGAATCATACCAAGTCTATTATCTTAATAAAATTTTATAAAGATAATATCAAAACAAAACCAAATATATATATATATATATTAATTATTTCCTATGTTTCTAAATATTCTATTATTATATTTTATTATCTAACCATTGATAGAAAAGGTCCCAAACTTCATAAAATTCTTTATCTTCTTGCTCTCTCATTTCAAATGTCAATCTACTCATTTCAGCACATTCCAATATTTTCTTAATAATTTCTTCCTCTGGTGGTGTTTTTGTTTGTTGTTAAAATCAATAAAAAAAAATCTCAAAAAAAAAAAAAAGACTCATGATTTAAACGAGGGGGTAAACTGCCGGAATCCTGACACTCAATTGTGGTCATTAAGCTGAGACGGGAAGTTCAGAAATGTGACATATAAATAAATAAATAAATACCGGTAGTCCTCGACTTACGACCACCACTGAGGAGAGGCTCTTATCTATGAGTACATCTACAAATGTATACAGTATCTACTAGCAGCTATAAGCAGGGGTCAGCTGATGGGGGTTCTCAGGGATTCGGGGAGAGCCGCTAGCTAAGATTCTGTGCGGAGAACCTCCAAATCCCACTCCTGGCTGACCCCACCTACCCCACCCCTCCCCTCCCAAAAGTCCCCACGCGGCCTGTTTTGGATGCAGGTAACTGCAGAGCATGCACGGAGGCTCGGGGAAGGCGAAAAACGGGCCTCCCGGAAGTTCGGGAAAGGCCGGAAATGGG